TTTTTTTTTTTTTGCTGGATAAGAACGAGCTGAGGAACATACAAATCTTAAACGAAAGGTATCTAAAGGAAGAAAAGATAGTGTAAGACTTTTTGGTTCTTAGAACCGCTGTTAGTAAGACAACTATTATCGATTGCACCAGAAACTACCAGAAGAGCACTGCCGTTTAGCGCATAAGAAACGATACTGTAAATTTGAATTCTTAGAAACTAAAAAAAAAAAACATCTAGAAAATTTTGAAATTAATGAAGTTGAATAAATAAAGTCTTGAACTTTTCATACAAAAAATGAATACACGTTATCGATAAAGAGAGCAGTTTAGACTTAAGCATGGTTAACTGTGATAGCGCCGTGCTTTATATTATATTAGGCCATGAAGTCCTCTTATTCATTTACTGATCATTTGTCCTCATTCACTAACAAAATAGACTTTAAAAGTACTACTTATATTTTATTGTTTTTCAGCATATCGTAAGTCGCATATTGTCGAAATTATTGTTGGTATATTAGCTGCTGTAATCGTTTTTTCGACTATTATCACCGCCATCTTTTATTACTGTTACCGAGAAAAAAGTCGGTCAGAGAAATTTGCTCAGATGAAAGTGGCACAGCTTGAACGCGAACAAGAAAAACGATACACGGACCTGCCGAAAAAGTAATTTTTATCTAGTTTTTTATTTGGGAAGACGTTAACTTGCTGGCTAGAAAGATACCTAAGCCACAGTTAAAGCTGAGCAGATAAAGCGATGACTCTAGTTGGTTGCTCAGCTTTCTTTGCTAATTTTTCAATATATTTGAACTCTGGATAGAAGCACTCAGCATTTAAAACAAAATTTCTTGTAAAAGCGTTTCTCTACTAGGTTATGACCTGTAATATTAAGAAAACATAGAAAGTTTTAGCAGAATAATACTGATTTCAGTGTTTGTAATTAAATGAAGTTTGCCCTAAATCAAGCTTATTTCGACTTTTGCAAAAACGCAGGTTCCCTGTAGTTTGGAAGTTTTTCTTTTTATGTGCCATAAGTTAAAAAATAGCGAGTCTTTATCGAAAGGGAAATATTACGCTATAATAAAGTGCAGTCACCTCTGAAAGAAATTTTTTTTTGGAAATTTACCTTTGTAGGAAATTAAATTTAAATGTTGCGGTTGGAACGGAATCTTGATGAAGACACAGAAGACCGAATAAATTGACAAAAGTGAAATTGAGGAATTAGGCCAAATTTTTTTTTTTTTTTTTT